AGAGCACACAAACAGCCCCAGTTGTACTTCCGTGTAACGATGTCTGCGTACAAAAGCTGCTGAAGATGCACAGTGTTCAGAAGAGCTATCTTAAGTTTAGATTTCACCTTCCTCTTTACTTGGGATGGAAACTCTGGCATCAGATATATGACTTTTGGCTGTTTAATGGAGACAAATGAGATAGCGTTGAAGTTGTGCTGTATTTTCCACAAGATATGCCTATTAAAATAAGTATTGCTGTATCGTATTTGACATTCCAAAATAACCCTTGCTTTCAAAGCATGTGAAAAAGCACACAAAATAGGCTCAAAAAATTATTTCCAATACTATCGAAAAGCAGAATCGCTGTTGCTCAGAACCTGTAGATATTTTGTTTGATTTGCAAATGGTTTCACACACAGATTTTTTAAATACAAGAGGAAAAAAAGAAAAAAGATTATCCTCTATTTCCCCCTCTCACACCCAAAAATTCACTCATACACTCCTTACAGCTTCTTTACAGTTTCACTCTGATAAGTCAGAGTTAAGCACCACTAATACATTTCATAACTTAACCTACCAGGAAAATAGCACAGCAACAGAAACAGTATTTCACCATGCTAATTGAGTGCTTTTGGAAAGATCTGCTGGACACCAGCGTCAGATCAAGGAAAGTGTCAGAACTGTGCAGATATGCAAAAGGTCGGGGCAGAGCAACAACTCCACAACTATGTGTTAGTGAGTGGGAATGATTTTGTTTGCTTAGGTATAAAATGACTACCATACTACCAGATGACACTGCAATATTGCCATAACTAGAAAGGCCTTGCAAGTGTTGTGGATTACTTGCTTTTGTTTCTCAAGCAACGAATAGTTAAAAGGAAGATTAGCATGCCCCATGACCACCACCCGCAACAACATGAAGCCTGTCAGTCTTAAAAATAACTATTATCCATAACAATAGAAAACAGTAGAAATATGTCCAAAGATGTATTATCAGTGTAAGTCAGTGTGATGACAGATAAGCTTTTCATGGTCTGGAAGCCACTCTGGACACAGTAGATATCCTTGCACTGGATTTTAAATTTTCCTTCATTTCTTTATAAGCAAAGATGATAATAACTATGGAATGGTCTAAATGTAGAGTTTTGTTACTGCAGCTGGCCACAAAATAATCAGTGACTCAATACAATAATGTGTAGATAATTATATGCCTGCAGTAGATGGCTATACTGGCACATCATTGAGTTGATGGAAGAAGTCAACATGAAAAGACACAGTGAACCCATAAAATGAAGTACCCATAATGAATTTTAGCAAGCATTTGTGAGTTGATTAAATAGCAATGTAGGAATACACATAATGAAACAGGAAAGCAACATGCTACTTCAGATATGACATTGGAATAATCATTTCTATCGCTGATTTTGATCTATTCATTCAGAGACATGATGTGACAAAACCTTAGCCTTCTTTTCCCCTGAAATGAGGAAGAGACTTCAATCTGATCAATTTTCCTAATTTGTCTCACTCCCTGTATAGTGATATGCCTTCTCTGATAGATTAGAGACAGTACACTTTGTTTTATTGCGTGTAATGTCAGAAGGTTTTCCAGACTAGGACTAAAGAAAAACCATATGGAGATAACAAGAAAAGGAATTCAATTTCATAACCCTTCTTCATCTGAACATGTTTGCCTCAAGCAAGGACAGTACAGGTAGAGCAGTAACAAAACACGGTCTAAGTATGGGTGCTGAGAACAGGGATGAAGGATTAAGATGACCATATGACAAAGCAATTGTTTCTAGAGTGAATATTTTGCATTTATTTGCAGGCTTTGTAATTCATTGTCAGTAACAGGAAGACACTCATTCATCAGTGATTTAATGTGTACTCATTCTGAGGATGAAGCACAGCTGTTTTGTGAGGATCAGCACCCATCAGACACTGATGTAGCTAAAAGCTACAGTTGTCTGAAGTTTCTTGAGAATCCCACAGAAACCACTAGCATCACTAGAGCATAGCAACGGCAATTCCCATTGCTACAGAAGCTACAGCTGCTAGAGCAGCTTGAAAAGAAATCTAGAAGGCAAATTGACACTCATTCCAAAGTGAGCTTTCATTTATCTCTGTATTGTAATGGAAATTTATGAATAATAGTCTATTTCAGGCCAATTTAGAACGGACTATTTCAGTCATGCTGCTCAATTGTTTGAAATGATCACCTAAAGGTGTGGTGTTAAGCCTTTATTTTCAACGCTGTTATATGTGCTTCATTTTTCTTTGGAAACTGCTTTGCTTTTTCAACTTGTAAGCTTACAATCACTAGATATGCCATCACTTTGTGAACCTTATGGAAAGACAGGGAAGCAAGCATACCATTATGTCACTTGCACCAGTTACAGGAAAACTTGTTCTACATAATTACATGAATACGAAACATGAATTTTGTCTTGCCATACCTTTGTGCTGCTTAGCACAAAAGGATTTGATCCAAACTGGGCACTTTTGGTACTAACACACCAACAAATAAATGGTTGCATTCTTGTAGCGGGTAGCCAAACATCCTTTTGCACCATCCACAATACTGGTTAGAAGCACCAGCTTCACTGCTAGAGTACAATGAATGAGAACATCATTCTGTTATGTAATATCTTCATTGCAGAATGAAATTATGCTGCTCTATTAAAAACTGCTTTTACAGGATACTGTGGAAGATTGAGAGTCATTAAAATATGAACTACATTTAGTTTGCTTTTAAAAAAAATCCATTATTGTATTTTCAGAATTAATACTAAACACATCTTGGCTTGAATCTTATTGTCTGCAACAGTTAAAAATGGTGACAACATGATTGGCTTAAATAAGCAGGGTTCATGGTCCCAGGCTGTTTCATTCATCACTCTTCTTTGCTACATACACAGGCAAACTTGCTAGTCCATAACTGGGCTTTTTACATAGTATGTTCTCTAAAGCTTTGAGAGTGAAGTTGAGAAGTTTCAGTTAAAAAATGAAAAAAAAAAAGTAACCCTTTTAATGGTACCATCTGTCTTCTAAGCATAGCTCTCATTGACTCAGTGCTCAATTAAGCAAACCAGGCTCTGTGTGCCAAAGCCATGAGGTATTTATGTTATAAGATGGCATCTCTCTTTAAAAAAAAAAAAAAAATCAAATTGTCTGATAATCTTGATACCCATGTTTGATTCAACTCCTAGAAAATTTTCCATAAATGAAGTACGCTTTTGCTAGCAAAAATGGAGAAGAGACATTAAAGGTTATAAACATTATAAAATTCGAAAAATATTCTTCTTCCTCTAGCCCTTTATAATCAATTTCCATAGATAATCCACACAGAGTTTTATATGAGGTGAGGGACACAGCTTATTTTCCGCTTTATGTTCCATTCCTGTGGCAAGTGACCTATAGATTTAACTTAATTCTGCACAAAGATGTACTAATTTACATAGGTATAGGATGACTAGCCAGTAGCAACTCTGCTCTTACATCTGCCAGGTTGCTGAGATGGAAAGAAGCAGAGGCTTAGGAGTCAATTTTCTGCAAGACCTTCATTCTATAATACCTGTACCACCTATGAAATTCCCTGTCTCCCTGCTTATAGAAGGTATCAATGAACCTTCCAGATAAAAGGCTCTAGCCTTCTAATGTTTCCTAATTCTCAGAAGTATGCATGGATACTAGACTTGAACTTCCCCAGAAGCGCATAAATTCAATTACTCTGAATGGAATATATTTAATCTACTTCATGCAGGAAAATATTAAGAGTAGAATCATCAAAGCAAAGTTTCTAACATAACAGGTTTAGTTGAGTCTTGGGTAAAGAAAATGAGGTTTATGAAAACACAACTGTTCAGAACAAGAGTACCCAAAATGGAGGAAATTAAAGGGTTAGTCATGTTACAAGAGGCCCCGGATGGTTCTCCATGAGATAATTTTTCATTAGATTGTAAGTGTCCTGGTTTCAGCTGGACAGTTGGTTTTCTTCATAGTATTTGGTATGAGTGAACAGCCATGTGTTGCTTAGCTGCCTGCTGGGTAAAACCATAACAGTACGCTACTTTAACTGCTATTTTATAAAGCGTTGCCCCTTACTTTCAACCCCAGAATTTGTTTAGCTGCAAGACGCTGTAAAAAGTATTGGCTTACTACTTCTGTATCCTGCAACTCCTAAAGCTTCCTTATATTCTTTCCTCTATTTTTTCCTTGAATTTTCTTAAATTATATGCAGTTTCACCACACTAGAATACATTTGAATCAAGACAAATTTTAAAAAATATATATTAAGATAAACATTTTGAAAGACATATTTAAATATACTCCTCATATTTTTCTAAAACAAAAGTTGTTCAAATTTTCATTTCATTTATGTTCAATCTGTTCTGTTTAGACAACTAACTTTAAAATTCCTGCAGTATAAAAACATACATAAGGTTCTGACACTAATGTACCCCTATAATTAATGAAGAGAAACAGCTACTTTTAGGTTGTTTAACCTTACCTCCCTGAAACATCTCCTCCAAGAAGAGAAAAATTATGCCCTAAAATCATCTTTTTCCTATCATTCACTTAGGAAGGTCTAAACAATATTTCAAACACACTTATTTCCAGTGAAGATTTCTCCAGCTGGCTGCATTGCAACAGTTGACTTATTTATTGCCAGTTCAAAATTCCCACTTTGCTCATCACCACATTGTAGTCTAACTTTACATACTGAAAAGTCTCCTTACTCACAGCAGAACAAAAAATTAATTCTGCTTTATATACCAATATACGCCATACGTACAGCAAAAACTCATTCAAAATTTTTCCTTCAGACAACTGAAGAAACTAAAGGTAATTCCTCAGCAGCACATTCTTTTCCAGTCAATAAAGTAAAACAAAATGAGACATAACATAACACCATAAACTGTACCCTTACCTGAGTGCTTCTAGATGTAAAGATGATTCATGTCACTGAGTGCAAATACAGAGAAATTGCATACATTCTGAATAAGAAAGGATACATTCGTATGGCTCCTGTTCTTGTCCCAATTGCCAGAATTTTCTGAACTGGGTCAAAAGCTAAGGCAGTGGGTAGATAAGGAAAACCATGACGAACCGTCTGAAACAGAACAAAATAACAAAGTCAGTGAAATGTAACCTCAAACAACAGCACGTGTGTTCTATGTTATGGGTAAAGGAAAATAATTTACATTTTTGTAATCAACATTGTCAGTTGATAAAGACTCAACATGAGCCAATTACGTGCTCCTGCAGCTCAGAAGGCCAACTGTATTCTGGGTTGAATAAAGAGAAGCATGACCAGCAGAATGAGGGAAGTGATTCTGCCCCTCTACTCTGCTCTTGCGAGAGACCCACCTGGAGAACCTATTCTGGAGGTCCCAACACAAGGACATGAAGCTGCTGGCCAGAAGGCGGCCACAAAGATGATCAAAGAGCTGGAGCACCTTCCCTGCGAGGACAGGCTGAAAGAGCTGGGGCTCTTCAGTATGAAGAAGAGAACGGTCCAGAAGACCTTATCAGCAGCCTTCCAGTACCTGAAGGGGGCCTACAGAAAAGCTGGAGAGGGACTTTTTATAAGGGCACATAGCAACAGGATGAGGGGAAATGACTTTAAACTGGAAGAGTGTAGATTTAGACTAGATATTAGAAAGAAATTCTTTACTGTGAGGGTGGTGAGACACTGGAACAGGTTGCCCAGAGAGGCTGTGGATGCCCTCTTCCTGGAAGCATTCAAGGCCAGGCTGGATGGGGCTTTGAGCAACCTGGTCTGCACGGGGTTGGAACTAGATGATCTGAAAGGTCCCTGCCAACCCAAACCATTCTATAGTTCTGTGATTCTATGATTTTACTTTATGCTGTATTATTTGCAATATATTTCCACAGAAGTACTGTAAAAGATACGTTGTTCTAAATACAGAGGTGAATTTCATTCATGTTAATTTCTACATTTGCTCTTTACTTGCATATTTTATGTTTTTGTTGTAACGATGCAGATTATAAAGTATGCACCAACTATATATTCAAAGATAACCCCAAAATGGAAGGCAGCTGTAACTCTAAATTAAAAAAACAACAACAACAAAAAAAAAACATGTAATATGATTTTACAATGCAACAAACAAACAGTTTCAGCCTGACCAGAACAGCCACAGAGGACAGAAATGGAACTTATCCAGAGGAAGACATCCAATAAATCAATAAACTGAATTGAGTCTACGAACGAAAAAACCCTTCATATCCATTTAAAAAACAAAAACACCAGAGAAGATGTTCTCAAAATGAACAGCTGAATCACTCATCTTTTCTTAACCTTTATTTGGAATACTATGCTTGTAATTCTGATTTTTCAGAGATGCAATGCATTCTTAGGTTTTTAGGTTTAAGAGTTCCTCAAATAATATTTTAAATTATCTAAACCTGGAAGTTATGACCAGTATGACTTGCCTGATTCTTAACAGAAACAATCTCATGATGGAAAAGCCCAACACACACACAAAAAAAGACTGAAAATAACAAGGCTAGACTAGAAAATACAAATAACAACAATAATAAAGTGACTGTAATGAGTGTGATTGTTTACCTAATAATATCTCAAGTACAGAGTTCAGGTTTGGGCCTCTCACTACGATAAAGACATTGAGGCCCTGAAGCATATCCAGAGAAGGACAACAAAGCTGGTGAGGAGTCTGGAGTACAAGTCTAATGGGAAACAGCTGAGGGAGCTGGGATTGTTAGTGTGGAGAAGAAGAGGCTTGGAGAGATCTCATCACTCTCTACGACTCCCTGAAAGCAGGTGATGGCGAGGTGGGGGCCTCTTCTCCCAGAAAGTAGCAACAGGACCAGAGGGAATGGCCTCAAGTTGCTCCAGGGAAGATTCACATTGGGTATTAGGAAAAATTCCTTCTCTGAAAGAGCAGTCAGATGCTGGAATGGGCTGCCCAGGAAGGTGGTTGAATCACCATTCCTGGAAATACTAAAAAAAAGTTTGATATTGTATTAAGAGATGTGGTTTAGTGGGAAAATATTGGTTGTGGTGGACACAGTTGGACTGGATGATCTTGGAGTTCTTTTCCAACCCTTAACTCTATCCCATAGAATTCTATGATTCTAAACTTGGATAATAAATAATTTCTTTTTTTTTTTTAATGTATGCTTGGGATTGAAAAGTTTTCTGGAGTGAGCAGAATGCAACTTTTTTCAGATATTTTATCTTCATGATTATCCTGTTCATGAATTGCGTTAGCTGAACCAGTCAATAGACCCTACAGAACAACTTCTACAAGAACTTCCCAAATTGCACACCTGATGAGAAAAGGCAGTTGATGACACCTACAGTCTTATAACTACAACTGTTTTCTTTTGTTCAGCTGGAAGCACTTAAACTGATGTTCACAAGTAGCTCAGGAACAACTACATGTATCTTTTTTTGTTAAATAAACACTTGCTTAAGAGAAACCTTACTCATCTCATGTTTTACTTACTGCTGATAAGGGGTGTCTTAATTCAAATTACTAGTATCTAGACTGCAAAAATCTAGAAACATGTGCTACTTCAGTAAGCTGTAGAATCCTGACTCACTTTTTTATGTTAATGCAGACATTTCTCAAAGATCTCCACAACTGTATTTTATTTATTTATTTATTTTGCAGTGTGTGGTTTTCTTTTTTGTGTAGTTTTGTTGGTTGGTTGGTTTTTGTTTTGTTTTACCTTCTCATCTTCTCAAGTGGGAGAATTACTGAGAATTGCTCAGAATTTGATTATCATAATCAGAATTTGATATTTGACACCTGAGCTGGTACTAGACTTACATATACTGCAAAAATGCTTTTACCTCTCATGTCACCAAATCATCAGGAATTATAAAATCTATTTTCCAGTGTATCTGATGTTTGACCTAACTTCATTACTCATTTTCTATTATATGCAATACTTTACTCATGTGAATAAATGTTCTTCGCTACCGGAAAAATATTTATATTTTAGAAAAGATTTTATTAATTTTTTTTTTTTTTTAAATCTCTCCATTTCTGATATTTAATTCTGACTGGAATTTACAGCATTGCTTCTTAGATCTAGTAATATAAAGATCAATATTTTTAAAGCCTTATTTTCATTCTTGCCTGCGTGTTTACCATCATTTCACGTGTCTGTTTTTAGTATTTCTGCAATCTATGTAGTCAGACTTATAATTTATCCGGGTCCTGTTTTGTAGAACTATATTTTAAAAGCACAGACATATACATCTCTCCAGGATCACAGCTGAGTAAATATTTCTGAACTCTGGGATTGACTCAGAACTGCTATACCCATTTTGCAGCCTTTTTTTCAAATCAGAATATTTGTACCTGGAAGTTCTGGTGCAGGCAAAATTATTCAATTTGTAGAAGAAAAAAATACTGTTGAAGTTCATTGATCCTCCACATAAATGACAATTTTGAAGTAAAACACTTATACTGGTTATGGCTTCAAATAAAGGACAAAAACAGTTTGGAAGAAGAACAAAGCTATAATGTACACAGTTAAGATGGAACAAAACCTTTATGATTGAGTTTTTAATGTGAATTAGAGCAGTCTCAAAGGTGATTATAAAGATCAGGCCTATTAAGCAGAGGAATAATAAGCTGTCAAACTTCAGTTTCCCAGTCCAGTGTAAGAAAAAACAATTCTAGAACTGTGTCTGGGCTTCCTCACAGCATCTATTAATAGAGATGAAGAGGGAAAAATTACAAACGTGATGTTAGGATGACAGAAAATTCCTACTTAATCTGCACAGTGCAGATAATTAACAATACTGACCAAAACTTTCAATAGTCAGTAGAAAATGCAAAACAAAGTAGATTTTTTTCCCCCAAAGCAAAGCTATCCCCATAGCAGGCAGAACCTGAAGAAAGTATCCTAAAGCATCAGCCTGTGTTCTCCTAAATACAGGGCCTACCTACCACAAACATCTTAAAAGTGAAGGTGCTCAAATGAGGAAAAAAAAGCAGACAGCAGATGGAGCCAGGATTGCTTTTTGCCACATCATCCAGATTTCTTTTTTGTCTCCTTTTTGGCACATAGCTTCTAGAGACAGACTGTGCTCCCTAGGACATGCAGTTTATATACAATATTTGAAACATTTTATTTGAAACAAAGCAACTACAAATGTAGCTACGATTTCAGTGTAAATCCTCATTCCTATTTTAAATTTGATTAAAATCATTTCAAGCAAATATTCTTTCAGTGAATTCTAAATATATATATATATATACACACACACATATAAATATATAAAATAAATTTACTTAAATTTCCTATCTTCATTTACTATTTGGACTTGCCAGCATTCTACCAACAAACACTTTTACTGTACAAAATAACAGTATGTTTTTCAGTAGCCGAAAAGAGAAAATCTCCCTAGCAGTAATATGCAGTATCCAGCGCAGTTATTTCATAGTGTATAATTTGGCTTGTCAGTATTAGGAGTTTTTCTTAACTTTTGTTACATGGTAATTTATATTAGCCCGCAGTCATTATTTTTTCAAGGTGATTTTGTTCTTTTCTAAATAACTCCAGAAGATACAGGAGTAAAATCTGTTTTAAACTGTACCAAAGGAATAATAAGGAAAAACTGTTCGTGCTGGTCTGCATAAACATAAAATGCGTGACTGACATTTTGCAGATATCCTGCTTTGCGTAATATTTGACAGCAAAATTGATTTACTTAGCTAAATAATTTTTGATGAGATGTGTACTTGTTTAAATTGAACTACGTAGTCTAAGCCTGTGACTCAGGATGTAGAATCTATTTCCAAATTGTGGTCAACATGCCAATACAGAAGTCTCACTGAAGCAAACGCTGTATCTGTTTGTGGAGCAGGGAAAGAAGCTTTAACACAAACTTGCATTGCTTCTTGCTCAGCAATCTATGAAATATTCAAGAAAGGTCAACAATTACACCTTTCGTTGAGGTTATAGCGGTGAGAAGTGGGTGATGGATGCCCATAAAGATGCGTTGTCATGCATTATATCCTCACACAACGACATCCTTCCTTTCTATGCTTCAGTGCCTAGATTCTGATTGGTGACAGTATTCTCTGCTTACAAAAGATAGACACA